TGATAACTAAAGCTGCAGTCCTGTCGTAGATGTTTTGTACTATGTTTTACTGATAACTAAGGCTGTAGTCCTGTCGTGGATGTTTTGTACTATGTTTTATTGATAACTAAGGCTGCAGTCCTATCGTAGATGTTTTGTACTATGTTTTACTGATAACTAAAGCTGCAGTCCTGTCGTAGATGTTTTGTACTATGTTTTACTGATAACTAAGGCTGTAGTCCTGTCGTGGATGTTTTGTACTATGTTTTATTGATAACTAAGGCTGCAGTCCTATCGTAGATGTTTTGTACTATGTTTTACTGATAACTAAGGCTGTAGTCCTGTCGTGGATGTTTTGTACTATGTTTTACTGATAACTAAGGCTGCAGTCCTATCGTAGATGTTTTGTACTATGTTATACTGATGACTAAGGCTGCAGTCCTGTCGTAGATGTTTTGTACTATGTTATACTGATGATTAAGGCTGCAGTCCTGTCGTAGATGTTTTGTACTATGTTTTACTGATAACTAAGGCTGCAGTCCTGTCGTAGATGTTTTGTACTATGTTATACTGATGACTAAGGCTGCAGTCCTATCGTAGAAGTTTTGTACTGTTCTACACAGGTACGTACAGGTGTGATTTTACTGGAGAAGGTTGTACTGTGTTTTATACGGTAACTAAAGTAGTGATTCTGCTGGAGTAGTTTTGTACTATATTTAAAACGGATCCGTGCAGGTGTGATCCTAATGGAGAAGTTTTGAACTATGTTTTACACAGATACATACGGCTGTAATTCAGTTGGATAATTTTTTTTTGTGTTATAAGTCGTCAGACTTACCACTTAGTTACCGAGGTTCAAATTTTGCATAATGTTTAATACAATAATTTTTGCTATGCTCCTTCCTTGTGTTTTTTTTCCTTTGTGTTATAACAGTTTGTTTGTCATTAAATAGAATACCAATTGATATGAAATTATATTATTTATTGCAAAAATATATTGAACGAACTGCAGATCAATCCCATAAACCCAAAACTAGGGAACAGTTTTCTATTGGTGTTTTTATTTGACCTCTTGACGTACGTACGATATGAGATATCCTGGCGTGGAATAATTTGTTGAATTATTGTCTTTTTGTAATCCATTCTCTCAAATTATTTTCTTCATTCTAGCAATATGTTTTTATAAATCCTTCCTCTGGAATAGATTGTTTTTAAACATTAATTATTTCGAATATTTTTAAATCCGTTTGGACAAGGTGGTAACATATTCTAAGCAATGCTTGTTTTAGCTTACGAACAATAATTATGTTAACAGTTATATTATAATACTATAGAGCTCCTAAATATATGCTTTATAGTAACTCTTGAATAAAGAAACCAAATGGAACTGGAATTTGAAAATAATAGGTTTTCTATTATACTAAAGTTTTGCAATAGTATTAAAACTGTTTTAAATCTTTAAGACATAAATTATATCTTTAACAGATAAATTTCTTTCAAATCCAGCTGAAGGAACCTCACTTCTAGAACCAGTGTTTGTAGTGTGATAAACGACATAGGTGCCATTTAAAGACATGTTCTGCTTTTTTGTATATTATTGTTTTTACGACTTAAGAACGCTTATAACTCTGTCAGCTACGTTAGTGGTATTATATTTCATCTTGTTGTACTACTTATTTTGTAGTTTTTACTTAATGAGCCAGGTATCGGAGGAGACTTGTTTTCTAGTTTTGATTAATTAGCCTGATATCGGTGGAGACTTGTTTTCTAGTTTTAACCTAATGAGCCAGGTATCGGAGAGACTTGTTTTCTAGTTTTGATTAATTAGCCTGATATCGGTGGAGACTTGTTTTCTAGTTTTAACCTAATGAGCCAGGTATCGGAGAGACTTGTTTTCTAGTTTTGATTAATTAGCCTAATATCGGTGGAACCTTGATTTACAGTTTTGACCTAATGAGCCTGATATTGGAGGAGACTTGATTTCTAGTTTTGATCTAATGAGTCTGATATTGGAGGAGACTTGTTTTCTAGTTTTGATTAATTAGCCTGATATCGGTGGAGACTTGTTTTCTAGTTTTAACCTAATGAGCCTGATATTGGAGGAGACTTGTTTTCTAGTTTTAATTAATGAGCCTGGTATCGGAGGAACCTTGATTTACAGTTTTGACCTAATAAGCCTGATATGGGAGGAGACTTGATTTCTAGTTTTGATCAAATGAGTCTGATATTGGAGGAAACTTGTTTTCTATATTTGTTAAATTTCACATAATATGTGCAATATTTCGTATTATCAAAAACTGCTCATTCTAAAAACACGTCCTTTATTGTTACTGGTAAAAATAGTTAAAAATTTCCTGGTCGATAACATTAACTGCATTTTAACTATTTAACTATTTTGCAAATGATTTAATAATTATATATATATATATATATATATAGAGAGAGAGAGAGAGAGAGAGATACATACATATATATACTTGCCTAATTTAATATTTTATACTGTGAAAACTGTTACAAGCTTCTCAGATGTACCAATAGATGGCGAAAGTTAACATGCCTAAGAGAAGCAATACAACAAGTTTTTGGGAAAAAAATGATGTTCCGGCATTACATAGATCACCACGACAGAAACACATGAACACACGACGGTGTCGATATAGCGTTTTATCACATCGTTCCGTGCTGTCACCTGGTGCCCTTGGCAAACAGATTCGCTCCGTGGCTACATAAGATGCTGAAAAATATATTACCCATGTTAAACTAACCTTTAACTTTTCTTTTGTTTGTCAGAAAAACACGTCTTGTCAAAAAATTAGGATTTTATAAATAAAGTTGTGTTATTATATAGTATTAAAAAAAAGGATATGAATATGCTTGTTTTCAACAGGTTTACGACACATTAATATTTGAAATAAAACATTACTCACCGACCATTTTATTAAGCACTCATCCAATTTCGGATTAAAATACTTTTCATTCTAACAATTGCCTAGGCATATCATGTCATAGACTTCATAAAATTCCTGAAGGTGTCTTTTACGATTGTAGTTTATTTGTCTTGAGTATGTATACAGGTGTCTGCAGAGGATTTGGGTAGTAAATTCTACGTTTCCTTTTGCCCCCAAAATACTTAGTGAGATCGACATACAGGAAAGGAACTGTGCTGTCCAAGAAAGATATAACGCTTTCGCAACCAATTTCCGAGAAAAATAACATGATATGTCTTTAGGTAATTATTTAGAAGGCCTCATTGAATCAAAGTGGTAAAGCAGCATTGTGGATTGGACGTGATCTACAATAGTATAATAACGTTCGTGTATGGTGAATGTTTGTTCATCTTTTGCCACTACAGTATTGCTAGTACCATTACATCATATTCAGCATTGTTAGAACATCACAATCACAGGCAAGTGTCTCATATGATCTTTTCTATATTGTTACACCTCCTCCAACATTATTGGAAGAACAAAATCACAACCAAATGTCTTATGTGGTCTATATAGTTTAACACTTACTTCAACATTGTTAAATCAACACAGTCACAGCCAAATGTTTCGTGTGATCTTCTATATATTGTTACACTTCCTCCAGTATTGTTGGATCAAAATACTCACAGCAAAGTGCCTCATGTTGTCTTTATATCATTAAACCTCTTCCGCCACTCTCGGAACAACACAATCACAGCCAAGTGTCTCTGTATTGTTACGCTACAGTCAGGTTACTTCACACGCTTCCAGACATTTCTTGTCAGTAGTCTGCTCCATTAACACTGCTGAAGCCTTGCTTGTACCTGAGATAAGTAGTTTTCGGATCGATCGTTAGTTTTCACGTGGCAGTTTTCCGTCGCACGTTAAGTTTGTTAATTGTCAAACCTGACAACTGACTGACATGTGTTGCACTTCACAGACCTGTCCAATCGTCTCATCGGTCAATAACTAGCAGTTAAAAAACACATTTTGCCTTAGGGTAAATATATAAGTTTTCAATTGCTTCTGTTAATATTTGATAGATTCTTCTATCTTTGATTAGCCAGTCAAAATAACTGTCTATTCTAGGGACATTTCAGTTAAAAAGACACCCACTCTCTATTATATCCCATGAAAGGTAAAATAAAGTCTTCTTTCTAACCGTTTACTTTCAGACTATGATATGATTACAACTCTGCAGTTATAAGGCTTAAGAAACCATAGAATAAATCAAATGATCAGTTGCCCATGGAGTATGCTACAAACGTGGAGATGTAATAAAGTGGCGAATTCTACATTTCCATTAGAAACATTTCCTATACATTACGATTCAAGATATGTACTGTATATTGTTAGACATAACACATGGTTTTATGGAGATATTTTATAATTATTTCACCACATGAGTAACAAAAGTCACATTAACTGTAGGATTTGTTTTGATGCAAAGCCACATTGGGCTATCTGCAGTTTCTAGTGGGGGGGATTGGACCCTGGATTCTTGCGTACTAAGTCCGTAAACTTACCGCTGACCCACCAGAGGACTTAAATGTATGGAAACAGTTAATTCTAGTAAAGCAACTGATTTAAAGGAAGGCAATCCATTTTTTCTTGCTTTATTTAACACCAAAAAGCTTCGAATTTTCACTTTGTTATCACGACTGTACAAAGTGGATCTCTGACATTTTATGCTATTAGGTCCTCCGGTGGCACAGCGGTAAGTCTACGGACTTGCAACTCTAAAATCCGGGGCTTGGTTCACCGCAGCAGATAGCCCAACGTGGCTTTGCTATAAAAAAACAAAAGCAAACATGCTGTTAGATTTCTAACAAAGTGAAACTATATTATTTCTCCTTATTATTTATATGAAATCTGTAATTTTATTTCATTCTTCGCTTCCTCGAGATTGTTAGTTATGTAAGTGTTGGTTAATGATATGTCTTACAATCTTTCTGTCCTTCGACGATCTTCGCGCACCATCCCGAAGCACAGGGAGCTGCCTCGAGATCTCGCAACTTCTCCGCGTCTGTAGAATTGTGGATAAAGGGGTCCTTACAGTCTCCAAGTTCCCCTCGTGACCTACACGTGAAACAACGTTTCACCCGTCCTAGAAATGTATATGTAATGATAATAATAGTTTAGACATCATATAAAAAATATTTAAAAAATACCTCTTGATTTGGTGAATAGTTAAGTTCACAGCTGACCAAGACTTACAACAGAGAGGAATGTAGAACATAAGTGCTAACATTCTTTCAAAAATCTACTTTTTTTAAACCCAAACACATTAATTTTAATATTTCCTCTTATAATTTATTTTCGGTGACAAAGCTCAATAGTAGACAATAATTAATCAATGTTTAATATTGAGCTTATCATTCCACGAAGAAAATGCTACCATACTTAAATATTTTACGTAATTAAGTATATAAGGTATTATATGTTGTCTGATAATTGAAAACCGTATAACTAATTAATTTCAGTTGTTTCTGAATCTATATTTGATAACTTAAGACACAAAACTTTAAATAACGAATCATTTAGATATATCTAACTTCTTTACGTTAATCGATTACGTTGAAACATTGCTACGTTTTGCGAGAAAGTAAGCCAAAATAGGTGTGACCCTTCAAATAATTATTACAGTATTTTACTCGGTAACTTCTAGCGTGTTTTGCCTAAGATGTCATTTCAACAGTGCTGTATTAGTTTTCGTTATATCACTCACGTCACGTTGTAACCTACTTTTCTGACGTATGGCGCGCTCGTTTCGTACACGAAGAACCAGGGCTAAGACACAACAGTATCTTAACCTCTCAGCCGTGTAAAGGTTATCCTTAGATGTGATGGGGTGTGAAGTAAGAGTTTTAGTCACACGATTTTGTGTGAACATGAAATTATTTCTAAACATTCATCCACCACTATACATTCAGTGAATTATTTTCATGAATAGTTTGATAGAGACTTTTCAAATGATGTAAATGCGATGAGGGAACGTATTATTACTACTAGATCCTGCATCGCTACCAGGAGGCATGATTAACGTTAGATTCTTAATCTTTAATGGGTAAAATAATATGAAAGTCTCGTTGACGTAATGTGAAGATAGAAAGTTAACTGTGGACTGAACTTGAAAAAAGTATCGAATTAACAGAAAGTTAATCTAATATTCCTTTGTGCACATAATAATGAATTTTAAAATGTCATCGTGTTTAAATATATCGGTTACATTTTCTTGATTGACTGGTGAAATCTTTGGGCTTAAACTCTTTAAATTATAAAGAAATCTTGTATAAATTACAATTCTCGTTTGCATATTAGCATATCGATCAACGTAATCCAAATCAGCTAAGCTAGTCACATATATTAGAGATTTAAAGATTGTGGCTACTCAAAGCTGGGGTATCCAAATGATGAATTAATGCAATCTAGACACATAAGTTTTCTTTTCTGAATATTCTACATTAAAGACCGTTTAATTATAAGCATAATTTATAATAACGTATACTGTACCAGCAAGTCTTTGAAAAAAATAAAGAGTAATGACCAAACATAATTTCAAACTATCGTGATGTCTACAACCAGCTTATTTAATTACTTTATTGAGAATTTGTAGAACGTCCATTTTAGGCTAAACTTGTAAATTTATTACAACTTGTATTCAATATCCAGTGTATAAACTTGGTAATTATTCTACTAAGTTTACTTTTTTTTCGAAGGTTAATGTAAAATGCATAATATTACAACATATAAATCTATATCTTACATAAGTTCAACTGTTTCATGCCAGTTCTAATGGGAGTACAGACTGTCAGTTATAACCTTTGAAACTGACACATCGATCTTGTTCTTTTAAAACTGGAGACAGTGATTCTCTTTTCAACGTTAATAGTTTAAAAATGCAATAAATCTTAAATAAAGAATCAAACATTTTATCAGTTTGAGTTGAAGTTAAAGAGAAAGAAGTTAGTTGACATACCAGTCACTAGGTTTCCAGAAATCAGCAAATAAATTAGAGTCCACGTTACATTCTTGTTCATTGTTAAACTTAGAATTATTTCCTTTCTGTCATACATACAGAATAAGATACAAATACTTTAAAAGCTTGAGATCAAGCTATTTTTAAAATTTTTCTAGTTTCGCAGACCGTTAACTTTTCATGGTGTTGTTAGTGTAAAACTTCACTCTTCAAAAGTTCGTACTGCCTCTGCACTAAAACTGTGTCCGAAACGTTGGATTTCTGAAACAGAATATGGGTAAAATAAAACTTGCAACCCTCACAGACTGGTCTGGGGAAAGCAAGAAGGGCAACCACTATGCACGACGTGGAGTTCTGTCTGTCCGGTAATTCTTGTTTCATTCAATTGTTTGATAGAATAACCTGTTTTTTTTTTCTTATACGTTTTTCTTAACTTTCTACCGCCGACGGCAGGTCGTCCTTGAGAATGATTTCGGTCTAGTTTTTCGATGATTGATATGTAAGTAAAAATCCGCTTCCAATGAAAAATTTGAACTTCACGACTTAGTGTTCTGATAGATACGTTGTATGAAAAATCTGGGAATGTACAAAATTGATAGGTAACATTTGAAAATGAAGACATTCGACGTGTATGAATACCTAGGTTTACCTTTTTAAACTTAATGCATTCTTTAAAACAGTACATTTGTATAAAGCGATCTAAGTATTGATAACTTTTGTACTCTTTTCATCAAAATCTCTTCCTCCAAGTGACAGAAAAACACGTTATATGTAGAGATCTATGTGTAATGCAAGATAAAACGTAGTTTTATATGATATACGTGTAATGCAAGATAAAACGTAGTATTATATGATATATGTGTAATGCAAGATAAAACGTAGTATTATATGATATATGTGTAATGCAAGATAAAACGTAGTATTATATGATATATGTGTAATGCAAGATAAAACGTAGTATTATATGATATATGTGTAATGCAAGATAAAATATAGTATTATATGATGCATGTACAATGTAAAATAAAGTGTAGTTTTTGTGACATTCATGTATTATAAGATAAAGTGTAGTTTCCTGTGATGTACTTGTATTGCAAGATTAAGTGTAGTTTCCTGTGATGTACTTGTATTGCATGATAAAGTGCAGTATACTGTAATAAAGTGTGGTATACTGCAATGTAAGTATAACGTAAGATAAGATATATAGTATATTATGTTTTAGAGAAATTTAAAAGAAAATATAGTGTAGTGTAGTTTCATGTATGTGTAATGTAAGATGAAGTGTAGTATGTTGTGATGTAGATGTAATGTAAAATGTAGCATGTTGTGATGTAGATGTAACGTATCTCACTGAGTTTATTTATTTAATTGAGGTTCAATTGTGTTACTGTTCACGTTATTGTGGCATTAAATTTGGAAACAAAGTCGTTTTTAGGTTTAATTTTCCCTTCAATAACATGTTCTACTTGAGAAAGAGAAAATGTAGTTGTTTTTGTGTTGAGTAAAGTATCATGATAGACATCAGAAGCGTATTTCTCATTTTCAGCCATCTTTAAAAGAACACAGTTTCTTCCTAGTGAATAATGTCTGCCTGAAAACGAAATTTCCAGTCTGAATCATTCTAAAAAGTTGCCACAGCTGTATTCCGACTGGGACAATCAAGATGTCACCTCAACGTTTATCAGATGAAATGACCTAGTTTGCTCTCAATATAAACTTGTTTTGCAGGTTTCTTGAAGGAACACTCGTCAGACCTGAAACTTCTTCTTGTTTGATACTTATCTTTTTAAACATGTTTAGTTTGAATTCAACATTTGGGACAATCTTGCCCCAATAAGTGGAGAACAGGAGTTTACTTAATAGCAATTTTTTGTCGATTTAAGTATTTTGTGCAAGTCAAATGTCTGAAAAATAACACATAACAGTTTTTTTCCCAGTTCAATAGTCATTGAAAAAAAAAAGTACTCAAAACGACACATTGTCAATACTTTTACAGCTTCATTAATATAATATATTTCCAAATACAATTTTGAGAGTTTAAATCATATATTTTACGTATCTTCACATCAGTACTAACTTTAAAATTTTGTAATTTAATGCACACGTCTATGTGTATTAAATATTAACATTTTTAGTTTAAAACACGTGACTATTGCCCATAGACAGACCAATGTTCTGTCGAAACATGTAGTATGTTCCCTCAATAATAAATCACTATATTATGCTTATAAGTTGTTGTTTGGCAACCTATTATTGTGTTAACATTGTTTTATGTTTGTCAACACCTAATTATTTTTTGTTTAATACGAATGTCTATGTGTTTTAACATAAACCTTTTAGCTCCAGCAGTTATTCTTTTAATCTGTTTATGTGTTTCTTTAGGTAATGTACGATCATCTCTTGATGTTTTTATGCACGAGTAATAATGATTAAATGAATTGAATTTCTGTGTACAAACAAATATATAATACAAAAAAACTGTTTATTTATGCAATACTATTCATCAAGTTATATATAACACATTTATTCACACAGCAATGATGATGTTGATTCGTGTGATATAAACAGGGCAGAGTTGATACTGGAAGCTGATTAACACATGAACATACATTCAATTCCAAATTGTAGCATGGAATGTTCAGTAGGCTTCCCAGGATGTCGACTTCTCTCAGCATTCTGGCCACACGTTTAACGTTCTTTATCCATATCCCAAATTACCAAATCAAATTAACATGTTTAAACGAAAACTGGTTAAAAGACTTATAATTCACACCATACCTATTATAAATATGAAATTAACATATCCAAATGAAAAAAAGACCAGTACAAGTATAATCCGCACCACTATTCCTATTACGTATCAGAAAACCGTTAAAAATAACCTAACTTCAATTACAATAACACTTGAAGGATAAAAATAAGAAGTTTATTTTGTGCCATACCAATCCTGTGAAAACATTATGTGTATGGACAGTCGATGTTTCCACTTTCCCAAGGGATGTGATAAATATAACGGGTTATCTATTCATATTTTGGCAATCTGTATTCGAAAGATAATCGCTATAAAACTGTGGCTTAAACAAAACAAAAAACAACATATTTCCAGTGACTGAACATCGGAATGCAAGATTTTTAAACACATAAGGTTTGTGTTTCAGATAAAATCCTTCTTATTTTATCAAGGTCATATTGGTTAATGATCATGTATTCAGTGAAACAGTGTTTATCTTACTTGGAAATATACACCACAAGTTTATCATCTGGAAACACGCCTGTTCTCGGGCGCATTTGTTCTGGAGTTTGTAGTTTTAAATCAATGAGTAAATAATCAAAGGGTTGCTGTGCTGCATCTTGATAAGTTTCTTCAACACATTCGGAAATATTTGTCTCGTTAAGACATTGATCTGAAATTTGTCTCTGAGATTAATTCTTGAATACAATAACATGCGATGATTTAAACTTAAATAACGCATTTCTCTACCCTGATGAAATCGATTCTGTATAACATAAAACACTGATGAATTCAAATGATGACCCCCATGTATAAAAAGTTGAGATACACGTTTGTTTTCTCCACTTTCACTCAAAAGATGATCAGTAATTAAAAAAAGGATTTGAGTTAGCAGACTGTAAATAATCATGAAAATGTACAGGCAATCCTTCGACAAACTGAATGTTTGGAATATTGTATATTAATTTAGCGTACAAAGGTTGAAATTCATTGTAAAACCACACAATATCGTGTAAATAACATCACGATGATAGTTCAAACTTTACTCACAAACTGAATTGTACCACTTCATGCTGGACCTGACACTAAACATGGAAATAGATATATTGTAGACAACAATATATCTAGAGGAGCTAAGCTCTCATGAGAAATAAGTGAAATAGAATTCACTTTATATATATATAGATAGACACACCCTACTTTTATCACGTTTTTGTGGCATTTCACGGGTGTGCGATCTTGTAATCTATCCTCAAGGCCATGTTCATGCCTTCTTTTCGGCCTCTAGGCCCCAATGAGGTCAGTTAAATGACGATGTCGTGTTGATAACCATAGGATGTGGCGTTATGTGCAAACTGAACGATATTTTCATTTTCTCCTCAGTTGTTTATCCTCGATGTCTTAAAGTCACACCATGTTTTTTGGACTTGTAACAATAATAGGTTGTTTTTTTTAGTGTTAAACATAGCCAGAATCATTTTTTTTATTTTCATAAAGTTGAATTTTTGACTTAATAGAATTAAGTGTGAATCTACGAATTTTCCAAAAAGTCCGCCTTCACCACTTCTCACGCTCGACTGATATTGTGTAAAGTCCTCGAGAAGTTGGGCCTGTTTCTGTTGTACTGCGATACAGACACTATTGTTTATATATCAACGGAACTAACGATCTATATCTGGGAGACTTTCTCAGAGAGTTTACGGACGAGCTTGATGGGCATCACATCACATCGTAGGTCAGCGGCGGATCACAGCATTACGCATAACAACGTGAAGACAGCAAGCCAAAAACAAATGTTCGTCTGGTCTCGTTGAGGAAGATGTTGATGTCTGGACTTCCAGTGGAGAACGATAACTTCATCGTTGATAAAGGTAACATCTATATTAATCTTAAAAGAATTATACATTAACGTATAACACTCTTTTACAGATGATACAGGAAATCAGTTCACTTTTCATACATACCCCAACGGCCCCAAAATGAGTTTAGATATAGTACAGAAATAGATCATCTTACAGGGTTAGTATGGATCTATTCCAGACTCGTGTATGTATTTTAGAATGTATTAGCATAGAGCTGAACGTAGGCTTGTTAAGACTCTGACGTGTTTCAGTGTGCAGACCATCCGGAAATATTCTGTTTAAGTTTTAAAAACATATCTTTATATATCCCTAAAAAAGATTTACAAGGAAAATGAGCAAATTCGTAAATATAGATTATCTGGTGTCCACACTCTAGAACTTTCTTAACTCGTTCTTAATCTGAATACTGACATGATAATATTGATCTTTCTTCCACACACATTTTAAGTAGAGGAAAAATTAATTTTTCATCACTTTTTAAATAGAGAACTGAATGACAGAGTTTTCTTAGAGCGTAAGACTTTATGTTTGACTAATTTAAAACAAGAGTTTAAATGAAAAACATTAGTAGTAATTTTAATTGGATGCTTAAGAGGATAATCATAATACTTATTGATTCAAGGTTAGAATGGCGTAAAGTCGATGTATTTAACGCATTCTTCATCCTTTACGTCATGCAAGAGTCTGACGGTGTGGATCCTATAGAAAGCATAACGGACGCCAAGATGAGAAACTACTTCATGACCTGTGAGAAAATACTGTTAATAATGGACAACAAAAAATTTGCTACTTAAGAGAACTCAAGTGAATTGATAGTGCTGATCTCAAAAATGTAGTAAGAATTTTTCCATCGCCTCTAGACTTCGAGATGTTGTAATGTTTCAATATTTTATCAGAACTACGCGAAATACCATGTAATTAACTCAGTACAATAGATTTATGCTGTGAAATTAAGTTGACTTGGACAGTTTAATGCCTAAAAGGCATACATATTTGATAACTTCAAACATTGACTGTATTGAGTTGGTGCAAAATTCCAAATATATTGCTCATATATGCTATTTGTTCTCGATATAACTGTAGCGAATTGTACCCCTTTTGCTTCATTCCACGCCCATCTGCTCCACTCGGGAATCACGAAACTTTCACGTGGTCAGTTTGCTAGAACATTCGAGAAATCCCTCGTTTGAGCATAAAAAGAGCGGAGTCAGACGCCTCTTTCTCAGCTGCCTCTCACTCACTCAATTGGTTACTTGGCCTCACTCCGCGCACAGTCAAATCAAAGTCCGATCTCCTTCCTCGCCTCATACCTAAAATATAATCAAATTCTGCAAAACTTTGTTTTTAAATCTTTTAAACTCAAGTGATGTAAGAATTAATTCATTTATATTTTGTTTAGAAAATAATTTGAAATGCTGGCTGCCTCCAGTTCAAGTTAAGTCTGAAGGTGCAAAAATCACCCAAACAGTTTCTGCTACATTTGTGGAAAATATAGGTTCATGAAGGAAAAACATCACAAACATTATAAAGGTAGCCTATTATCACTATTTTGGGTCTAAAATTGGTGTCCAAGAAAAATAGTGGGCTCCACATGTGTATTGTATAGTTTTCACGTCTGGCTTGACACAGTGGATGAATAAGAAGAGAGCAAGTATGCCATTTGCAGTTCCCATGATATGGCGTGAGCCCAAATATCATCTAACTGACTGTTATTTTGCACGAATAATGTTTCCGAATATTCAGGCAAAACTAAACTATACATTAAATATCCAGATATCACATCTGCAATGTAACCAGTACCTCATTGGAATGGTCTTCTAGTGCCACATCCACAAGGGAATTGGGAAACAGGGGAGTTATCCTGCAAAGAAGACAATGAATCAACTTCATCCTCTTCGTCTATTAATCCTCTTCCAGTGACATCTCAACATAAACTACCTCATCTGGTCACACAAGAAGAGCTACATGATCTGATTCGTGAGTTGTCTTTATCAAATCGGCATTGGGAACTCCTTGGTTCTCGTTTACAGCAATAGAATTAGCTTCGTGAACAAGAGTTTCAATTTACCGAAGTTGCCATCAAAGTTTGGCTTCTCACTACAGCATGCAAGATACTTTATGTTTCTGTACAAATGCTGATGCACTAATGAAAGAATTAGGTACTGAACACCATTCTCAAGAATGTAGACTTTTCATCGACTCATCTAAAGTTAGTCTGAACGCTGTACTTTTGCACAATGTGAACACTAAGCCATCGATTCCTGTTGCTCATACTGTGAACATGAAAGAAATTTATCAAAGCACGGAGATTATACATTCTTAAATATAATTTTCAATGATCAAGTAAAGCTATTAAGTAAAAAGTTGTTATTTTCACGATACATAAGAATATTTTAAAGGTGATCAGTAATTTTCAATGTAATTTTTAGAATCAGCATCGTCAAATTACTCAGAAACAGTTAAATTTTTTTCTAGTAGCAGATAAATGTTTTTGTTGTTGTTGTTGTTGCCCAGTGTAATCAACATTAGATTTCTTCATTGCGTTCAATTATTGTTCCCAGATAATGACAATTTGGTACCCGAGAGCTTCGTGTTTTTGCTCTCGCTCCTGGGTTCATTTTTTGTGACCCACACTAGTGTACTGAAAACAACGTTATTTGTATCTGAGTAGTATCATTCGTGTCATCCATGATAGTAACACGTATAAAATTCATAGATGGTGTTTTTTCACTGCACAATCCATCGACTCTATAATTGAGAATTTGTTTTTCTCCAACATTCAGGGCATAATGAATGGTTATCCCTTGAAATGTCTAGATAGGACATAACTACTGGATTCTGGCCTGGCTATAAGTCCTGGATATATTATAACTATGATTGAAAGGGGGAGATCAGAATGATTGATCTTGGAGGGATAAACTTGCTCCTGTGGATCGTCATATATACAGAAGCAGTTTTGGAGTATGTAAAAGGGTTAATATCACACGATGAAAAAAACTCGTCCATGAACTGGAGACACACTTTGGGAGTATATCGAAGAGTGACAGCATCTGAAAAATGACCAGTGAAAAAATATTTGATATCAATTTGTTAAATTGTTAGCTTTTCACATATTTATAAAAATTAAATAAAAATCAATGATAACATTTAACTTTCAAAGTTAGATATCAGTATCACAAATCTTACTTATATAATTTTTGCTGGAAATCAAAGATGTAGACTTTTTGTCGCTCTCGATACCACTTTAGGAAGTTCCCTCGAGATGATGATGTCATGGTGTCTGGTGAATAAAAGTGGATGTCTGCTATAAGTCCCTTGTAGTTCTTTTGGATTTTATGTTGAATAGATGAGGAAAATAGACCATCTGTAATTCTTCCAACTTAAAGGTTTTTTGGTACGAGACTAAAGTCATAGGTTAAAAAAAATTAAAGTTGTCAATGATTCCCCTCTTATAACAATTTTACCTCCGTTAACTATCATGTCTTATTTATATCTTAAGAGATCAAATAATACAAAATAAATTATCTGTAAAACCTCTTCATATTATGGCCAATCGCTGTATATCCTTTGTGTGATGGTAAAGAGCATTTTATAAAAATCGTCACATCCTTCATACACTTTAAAGACTGCATCCTTACCGTGAAAATCACATTTAGTGATTAACTTTATGTGTTCCTGTCTCCTGATCGATCTCAAAATCGAAAAACATGTATTTCTAAGAAGAGTGTCTGACTACACACTTAATTTATCTACATAGATGACTTTTTATGTGTTTTACTCTCTAAGTTTTTGAAACACGATGTGCACTGATAGCATGTTTTTTATCTTGGATTTATGTCTATTATAACAGCCTACTGAATTACAGAACTTAATACAATTTTTGCAGACTTCTGTTTGACCTTTTGTACAATTTGTAGAGTAACATACTTTACAGTAAATAGAAAAGTGATGTCTATGTAAGTCCGAGCAATGAAAATTCCCCCAAGAAAACCCTTCATACTTATTATATCATCAAAATGGTTATTATAATACTAGAGAAATATCTTCTCGAGACAAGAAGAACCTTTGTAGATAACAAGATTCAGGTTATTCGATGATGAAATATGAAATTGGACCTCTAGATGACGCTTGGATATCTCTTCAATACCACAAGACTCATAGAAACATCCGCTACCTAATGCAGATCTTTGTTCTTGCGGATCAGCAAAGGTTGACGGTGATCATCAACATATTTGTATTTAGATAAAACCATATGGGCTAAAATATATCCCTATTCTGAAGTCATGCTATTGATTGGTTTATCTAAATAATTAGAAACAATACAAACGCTTACCCTGTCGTAACTGCTCAAACTGTTCAGAACATGGTGAATATTTTGTCTAAATGCCTTCATAACAAATCTTCAGAACACATTTATTTTTCTAAGTTTCCTTGTATAGAAAAATTCACTTCAGTCTCTAAGTATTTTAATCAATACGGAGTTTGCCTGAACATTAGATTTTAACCTAACCCTTGAATATTTTATTCACCCTTACTTTCCCAACTAGTAGCATTTTCTCCAACTTCTAATTACTGTACATCAATCTCAGTTTCACATATAATTAAATTCATCCAAACCTTGAGCTATAAGTATTTAAATTCATTTTCAAGTTTGCTGGAACGTTGAATTCATTTCAACACTTTGAATATTTTAATCCACATTCAGTTTTCTTGGAGAGATAATCCTATACCAATCCCAGAATCCAGAATACTTTAATTCGGTCCCACTTCTCCTCAATAGTAACGTCATCTCAACCCTTGAATATATTCATTCATTCTTAATTTTTCTGCTCGAATACGTAAATTCGCCATTAGTTTTTCTGCAGAGTTAAAGTTATTTTATTCCTTTGAATATTTGAATTCACTCTTAGTTTTCCTAGATGAATGGATTTCAACCTTTATGTGCTGGATGTCCAATATATGAATATCTTCTTCTAAAGTGAACTTAAGCAATGTACTCAATATTTGGA